AACGTTTCAACAAGGTTTTGTCATCGTTGTCGAAACGTTGTACATTTGCTGTTATGTTAAACTTATATTAAAGTTTTTCTTCATTACCCATTCAAGCCGTCTCCAGCCATTATTTTTACTGTATTGTGCTGCTCATTCAGACTTTTTTCAGAGGGATCACACAACTAGTGAGGAACTCTCCAAGTCAACCACCCATCCAAGCAGCTAGGAACTGGTATTGACAAGGGTCTTCCTTGCTCCACTCGATGATCAGTGGAGGCAGAATTTGCACTGGGAAGACACCTGAGATGTGCCCAGACCTAACCATGAAAAGTGCATTGCATTATCACAAAACTTAACTTGAAAAGCCAGCATGTGCCAGTCATGGAAGTGGACAGGCACTTCCCTGGTGTTGGCTTTTTCATTGATAGAAGCTACAGCCTGGAATGGACAATGAAACATAAATATATGCCACATTAGTGGTCTTGTGGAAAACCCAAACTCAACAGTAGGCACTTGAGGAGTCAGAGTGGATGGGTTTAATGCTTTCAATTACCCCCAACTCAATGCCTATGAGGCAATACCAGCCACAAGGTGAGGTCTGAGAAGTGAATGGGATTACCTTATAATCAGGTAAGGAAATAAAAGAGGCACTTACCATTAAAAATGGTGAATGGAGGGAGGCAATATTCCAAAGGAAAAGAAACCACCAAATGTTGAAGATAATTGTAAATGAAGGTATTGGGTGGAGTCCACATTCCAGCCTGGAGGATCTCATTCAAGGATCATCAAAAGAACACACCAGAGAGTGAGTCAAGTGGTGGATTTGATGTGATGAGACGTGATACAGCCTACGAGCATCTCTATCCAGGGAGGAATAAATGATCCGGATGAGCTGACAAGTCCATCTGGTAAGCGTAGAGCACAAAACATCTATCAAAGAAGAGGAGTCCCATGGCAAAAATAAACAACAGTACCCCAAAATGCAACTGTGTATGCCAAGCAACACCTAACAGCCCAAACTGGACACAAAGGGTAAATAGGATCGGTTCAATCATAGAGGACTGAGACTGATGGAAGAGATATGGGAGAAAAGTTATCACATTCCTTCTAAGCAGCAAAAGTCTTTAAAAAAACAAGCAGTTGGGGAATAAGAATCAAGGAAGATCTATGAAACAAAATACAAAAGGCATCAATGAAAAAAGATAAGGTCCACAATGACCACTGGCAAGAAAGGGAAGGAAATAGATTTTAAGAAAGAGAGATGGTATAAGGAGCAAATAGCCAAGGGTTCAAACAAGGTCTGGATGAGAGTGTGTAGAACCATATTAAGGTTCCAGTCAGCCAAAGGAACTGGACAAGGGGAGGATGAATTGAGAAGGACCAGAAAAAGTGGAAAGAACAAGGTAAGAAAAGACAGAATCATAGCAAAAAAGGTGAAAGGTAGTCAATAAGACCACCTAGTAGCCTGTGATAGTCAAACCGGACAATCCTTGGTCGAATAACTAGATAAAGAAAGCTGAAAGGTGGGTAACAGTAAGACAGCCTAGTGGAAGAGAGCTGTGGATGGACCAGCAGCAAAAAAACATGCCAATTGTGTGGATAGACAGAGAGAGTAGAAGGGCAACATGAATGGGATAAAAAGAAGGGCTATACAGTCAGAAAAAACCTGACTGGCAAGAAGAAAACTGGACAAATCCCACTCATGAAGATTAAGCAACAACACTCCCAGCTGAAAGAGAAATGTACGAGATTGGAGCAAGAGTGACCAAGATGGAGACAGAGAAAGAGGTGCTCTGAATGTTAGTCACTGAAAAACAGGTAACCAAGAATGAGTTGGCCAAAATGGCAAAACCAACAGGACCCAACAAGGAGTTTTATAAATCAATGGCAAGGAACATGGGAAAATATGAAAAGGAGAGTACACATACAGATAGAGAGGAGACCATTCCTGGCTCAGGGCATCCACAGGGTGAGATTTCAGAGACCAGAAGAGAAGGAGAGTTTGGTATTGAGAGGAGTGGTGAAGGCATCAATCATTGGTGTGCCCAACTTGGAACAGGTCCAAGGAAATACCTTGAGATGAAGTGACCACTCCATATGAAGAATCTTGTCCAGTTGAGAGAGTTTATCTGTCATCAAATTTAAAGCTCCCAAAACATGACAGGTTTTTAGAGAAACCCAATGTGAGTGGGCCAAAAACAGGAAGTCCAATGTACAGAAGCAAAGATCCATGGAATGAGTCTCACCCTGACAATTGATATGAGAAACAACCATAGAATTGTTGGAGTGGATCATATCCAAGCAATCCACAAGATGAGATGAAGAGATGTAAATCCAGATGTGGGTAAGCATTGAGATCTGAGATGCCAACTATAGTGTGGCACAATCCAGTTACCAAGTTAGGTTCTCAAGAGGAGAAGACGGCAGTATCAAAAGAGAGGACAGAGGATCACAAGAGATTTTCTAATGATCACTCAAGGTCCATTGAAGAAGCCTTATGTGAACCTAGTTTAGAAAAACAAGATATTAAAAAAGATGTAAGAGTTCCCAAAATGGATAGAACTTCTCACACAGAAAGTAGGGGAGAGACAAGAGTCAAAGTAACTAGATGATCCATGACTCAAAGACGAATGTGGGATGACTGGGCTTAATGACTCAAGAATTGAAAAAGACTCCAAGGTGAACCAAGTACTGAGTCACAGTCATTAACAACTTAGAAAACTTGATCAGCCAACTCATTCATTCATGCAGTTTGTATGTACATTATTGCTTTTAGGCATGTATAAACATTTGTACATCATATTATTTCCCAATATTTGTATATTATTCTACCTTTCTAAATGTTATAAATAAACTTGTATAAAATTGTCAAGTTTCTAATGTTGTATAATTTGGTTTTAACTTACCTTAGTTTAAACAAGTAGAATAAAACAAATTCAGGAGGCCTAGCTATGTATTGGCCTACAAAATACAAATGTAACTATAATACGAGTATACTGAAAATTACAGTGACATTTCTGCTACCGTACGTTACATAAGTATATAAATATACATATTACTATTTACTCATATATATGCTTAAATTTCAGTCACATTTTTTAAAACATAGAAAGTAAATGAGAAATTCACTGAAAAATAAAGATTTTCGTGCATCAAACTTGCTAAGCCTTGACGTAAGATTTGTTTATTCTTCTGGGTGGAGGGGGTAGAGATACAAATTTTTTTAGGCTTCAAATATGAATTTTTGAAGACCAAAAAGCTATCAAATTACTGTACTAGTACACTCAAAATCCCTGTAATTTAGTCAGGTATCTAAATAAACTGTATGTGGGTTAAAAAAAATCCCATTCCTGTTCAGAGTTATGACTAAATCATCACACTTCAATAGTTATGACAAAATTATTATTTTCTCCTTCAAGCTATTTATAAACAACTGTCAGAGTTATGTAGGGGTGAAAATGTTCTTTCTATTGGTTATAAGCAGTAGCTAATTAGTAGTAGGTGGGACTAGATAAGAGCTTTCAAAAGATTGGTGCAGTGGGAGGAGCCACTCTAGTAGACTTGCTAAAAATATTGCTATCTCAGCAAATCATAGAGGAGGGTGTTCTTATTTTATATTTACTTTGTCTATATTTCAAATTTGAGTTTCTAATTCATTAGCTACTTATACATGTTGTATGGTTGGCATAATAAAATGACAACTGAACAATAAGACAACTGGACGTGTTATGTGACACACAAAATCGATACTTAACATTTATTTCTTTACATTTCCTTTTAAATTAAGAAATTAAATGTTATATAATATCAAAATTTAAATTATAAACTATGTTTTGATGTCAATTTCATTTATGTAAGTAGTAAAAATGTTATTTAATAAAACTTTGAAAATAACGCTCCAAAATATTGTGACACATGCACTTTAACCTACCCGGGGCGAAAGAGTTAATTAACTTGTAAGTAGTGCAAGGTTCATCTTGTGTAAGGCACATTGAAGAGTACCATACTTTGAAGACTTTTCAAAGAAGTTAACTTTTCTTTCTACCAAATCTAGTCAATATGTTATGATTAGAAAGAAAAGTAAAACTCAATCTGATTCATTTTATTTCCTATTTCTTTCACTTTCTTAAAATCTAAAATTTCTTTAGTAGATCTTTGGTGTTTATAACACTTTTTTTTTTACACCATCACTCAGCATTTGCTTTTAGGTATTTCCACTTGTTTTAAATGCAATTTTATTTGTGAATTAGTATTCTAAAACTCATTGCACGTATTAGCCATAAAAAATGAAAATATTTCAACAAATACTTTTGCAAGAGCACACAAATTATATTTTTGTCTATATTGAATTGTGTTTATTATACATTACTGTGCTCAGTTTTATTACTTTTATCATATTTTGTGTTTTAGTTTCTGCTCACAAATTATGTATAAAATTCTCAATATTTCACTGAATAATGTACAACTTGGATTATTCATCTTCAGACAATTGTTTGGTAACAGTGATTAGTTTATTTTTGCACTTGTATAAACATGTATAAAGTCTTCACTGTACGTATTCATGAATAGTGAACAAATGTACAGTTTGTATGTTCTTGATATATAAACTGATGTGATTATAATATCTCACTGTAGCTTTCACTACGTTTTTATTTTTGCATCTAAATATGATTTGCATACAACCGTACCTATACTTCTCAGTGCACAACTTACAACAGTTTGATATTGTTTATCCATACATTGATGCTCCTTTAGTATGTATGTTATCTTGATTTGTAACTTTGTATAAACTTTTAAGTAATTTAACTTTATTTTTTTTAAACCCTTTGCAAAATTTTAGAATAATCTATTCATATATATCAGTTAGTATGTTTTAATTATAAAACAACAACAACAGAAGTGTAGGCCTTGCTAAGTAATGATAGTAAGAAGGAAAAATTTAAAATTCTTACAATAAGCCTACAACTATTGAAGTGGTACTAGCAGTATGTATAAATCACACAAAGTTATCATTCTAAATACTAAATCATATTTTTATTACGAACTAAATATAAAATTATGCTAAATTATTGAGCTTAAAACTGCTAATTTAAATGCAAAAGAATATAAAAATCACAAACTCCTTCAGTTCAAAGTGCTAAACCTAATCCACATAAAGACCATGTACTCGCCAATCGATAGATCTTAACCCTAACATTCGTGGATCAACTTCTTTCCCCAAAATATATCTATTTTGAGTTAATTTTTCAATGTAATAATTAATATAAACAGATATACGATAGAGCATGAGCTGAGCTATTATAGAAAAATAATAAAAGTCACATACATCCCATGCAGTGTTTTCCAGAAGCATATTTTCTAAGGCTTATAAAAATTACTATTGACCACTAAGTACAACCTCTACATAAAATGACAGTTACTATAATAACTATCATACACATTAATATTGTAAAATCCATAAGACAAAGTTTCGTCACGTGCTTTGTTTATCATCCTATGAATTGCTACATGTGAAATACAATGATTAGAATAACAGGGTACTGAAATTGACACCTTCGAATATGATTGGCTAAAAGTTTTACAACTGAGGTTTAACACGCCCAGATGCTGCTTTGTAACGAAAACAGGCTAGAAAAAGGTTTAAATACCAATCATAGATGGCAGAACAAGCACTAAAGTGCAAGGAAAACATTTGTTAAAATGAAAAAAAAAATTTTTTTCCTTAGAGGGCACTTGTTTACAGTCTCTAACATATTTTGGGATTTTTTTTTTTATTAAATTTCTCTTCAAACTTCAATAAATAATGCAATTTAGTCCAAATAATTGAATGTTATGCTACTATTTACAAAAATAAAATCTGAAAACCAATAAAAGATAAGTTCCCTATAACTTTTTCAATTCACAAGTAAGATCTAATGGCCACAGTAGGTAATGGATTAAATAGCCAAAGTTTTGGCAGGGGGTGTTGCCAGCCAGTTGCCTTCACTCTAATTAAAAGTTCAAAATTACTAACACTAGCAGATAGCCTTAGTAACTTTGACATAAAGACAGGGTAACCAAGTTTGGTGGCTAAGGGAATCAAACCCAAGACCCTTGAGTCACGAAGCAATAATCACATGCTAGCCCAAAGCTGAACAAACTTTTTGTAGAAGAAAAGCTTACAATGCTAAAACTGGATTTTGATATCCCCAGTAGGTAGAACAAAAATAGCCCAATATGTAGCTTTGTCTTTAACAACAAACATAAATGTAATATTTCAAGAGCTTACACAGTTGGAATAATCAAAAATAGCAATAATTGGAACAACTAATTTTGATTAATCTATTAGTTTACATGACACAAATCAATGTAATCACTGCTCATGTGTAATCAATTTACCAATTAATTGATTATATCACCCAGTGATAGTTTTGCTATGTTTCCAGAACAGGAAAACCCAAAAACTGCTTTATTTTTTGTTGCTTCTAATGTGTAGAACTCCTTTTATTTTTGGGGATCTCCAGTTTCGTTCTTATTCAATAATTTTGCAGTTTTCTCCAGTCTATGGCATGTATAGTGTAACAAGTAACATACTTTAATATAACTTATAATTTTGGGATTTGACTATTTATTTAACAGTTTGAGTTGCATATACCTCAAATCATGTGCAAGGGAGGTTTACCTGCCTATCAACATTTTTCACAGAAGTTCTGCACTTTTCTCTTACTGCATTGCTCTGGTTTGATAATAGAATGAAAGCCACTTTATATGAAGGTCTCACACTGATGAAGTTACACAGTAGGGGTCCAAAATTGATTTGTGAAGGTCACATGAAAAGGAAAATAAAAGACAATTCTGCACGTTACTTAAGTCAACTATTTGTGTGCTCTAATTCCTACTATGTAACACAATTAGCTAAATTCTTATGACATGCTTTGCTTACAGTAAAATCAGGGCAATTACTCAAGTTACTAAATGTTGATATAGAAATAAGTCTGTATTAAGATAGGCTTTTTGTATGTGAAATGGCTGCAAAGATAGGCTAGCAGTATGATGGAAATGCTATCCTTTTACTTGTTGATATAGGCGTTGGATATACAAGACTTCAGTTTAAGAGTTATTATTTAGTTTATTTAATTATTATTTAGTTTTCATAATGAGTGTTAAAAGTTAATTATTTTAAAAGCAATAGTTACGATAAGTTTTATTACATAACTCTGTACAAGTCGTACGTTGTGTAAGCAGTTTGATTGTTGTACTAGGCTTTTGTAATATTGTTGACATCATTTTATTCAAAGTGTCTAAGTTTCTCGTTATGTGAATATTGTTGTCACTAGAGGGCTAGATATTTCTAGATTTTTCTGTTGCATGTTATAAATACATGCAGATACAGAGTGCATGGAAGAAGTTAAAGTAACTTAATTAAAGTTAGACTACATGATTGTTAGTTTAGCCATAACGGGCAATCTCTAGAGTAGTATTGTACCAGCATAGATAAAGAACAAGAATTTGTCTTGTTAGTGTTCTAAAGTAATTGAACCAGCCTGTGTGAACTTTGACAAAATGGAGACAATTATTTAAAGCTCTGGATACAATTATAATAACCAATATTGTAATGAATTTTTGTACTTACATTTGACTTGTTTTGAACATATTATTCTAAAACAAGTGGATTGTGTGTTGTCTGTTTATTGTTGACATTTATCGCCAACAAGACACAGACACCTACTGTAATGAAACCACAGCCAAGGGAACGGGCTTGGAAAAATCAGTTCATAAAACTGAAAATAGGAATTAGCCTGTACTAAGACAGGCTACTTGTATGTAAAGTGGCTGCAAAAACAGGTTGGCAGTATAATGGAAATGCTATCATTTTACTATTTCGTTGCACCAATGTACAAAAACCAAACTGTATCATAAGTATTTAGCTCTATCTCTATTGGAACTTTATTGTTTGTGTAATTTCTGCATGTAAATTAACATTTATTAAATATACAGAAAACTATTTTCTGGTAAGAATCTCAAATAGGAAGATACTGTATTTAAATTTACAAACTGGATTATTTTAAATAAGTTAAAGAGATTTTCTTAACATCTTACACTATCATCTTTCACACAACATACATTTGTATATTTGAGTAAATTGCAAATGTTCTCCACATTTCAGAAAAATAACTAAAGTAAGCAAACCCAAGGGAATGAATTTCAAGTATCACAAAAATTCTCAAAAGAAACTAAACAATATTGCACACAAATATTTACCTGACTAAATGTCGGCTTGTTGTGAATTCGTGAGCAGCGATCTCCATGTCTACATGCTCCAATCTTAAAGTAGAATGAGCAATTTACCCTAGAAAGAAACATTAATTTCTTCACAAAACCTGATGAACTAGAAGCACATAAAGAAAAAAGAAGGGTCCACTATCAAATCATTTTCATATATTTTTTTTTAATTTCAATATAAAAATCTTGTGGCAAACATTCAATTACAGAAAGCAGCATTTCATCACTTCAGATATTATGAATAATAAGTGTACATAACATCCTATTATAGTAGGACTACTCTTTATTAAAGACTTCTAATGCTTCCAATAGCTCAATGGACCATAATTCCAACCCTAAACTTTAAAGTTTTCATTTAATTACCTGTCAATTACCTCAAGAAGGGACATTTTCTAAGTTTTAAGTATTAAAAAAAAAGGTTTCTGAGATTACTTACTATAGCTTTTTTTCTTCTGAAACTTGTACATTTTATTTAAGCCATTACTTAGTATTTAACATTATTAAATTAAATAAGTTTTATTTGATCAAATTAAGTTTCTTTTCTTATGCATTCACACCAACTACTTCATTCAATCTAATATTAAGTTTGTAATTTTGTGTACAATAACAAACTCTTCATTGTTACAAGCTCACACAATCTGTGATGTCATTATTTAATCACAACAATTACTGATTGTGCAAGTTATTCCAAATTGTATATTCAACACTCTTCAACTGTGGATCTTTATTAACAGGTTTAAAAATTAACATTTCTGACTTTGACATTTGTAGGAATAACCACGAAATAATACTACATTCATCTTCAGACAGCTTTATAACTAAAAAGAAAAAATTACAATCTTAGTACAATTTTATGCTCTGGTGTTATAATTAATCAATATAAATAATACAAAGGTATAATTCAGTGAATAATTAACTTAACTGATACTTAGTGAGTTGTGACAAAATGTGATAAACAGAGGTTGAAAATGTTATATTAAAATGATTTTGGAGCCTCACTATGGCAGTAAAATCCATATTACCATATCCAGTCATGTTCTTTCTCAGGACTGTACATCTTGACAACAACCCTGTGGCATAGAATTCATTACAAAACAATCCATTGTAAGGCTTTCATTTCTAAAACACATCCATTTGACCAATATGTCTTCATATGGACTAGCATGAATACCATTTCATTCTCCAGCTGCTTTAGGTATGCAAAGGTTGAATGGATACGTCATGGAAGTAACTAGCGTCACTTTTCCAGATCGAGATCTTTCTTGATTATATTGCATATCATTATCTGGGACATTTGGACAGATACTGTCAGATCTTTCTATTCGTTGGTTCTTACTGTTACAAAATGAAACATTTACTACAGCTGAAGTACAGCTTGTTGCAGGACTCTTATGATCTGAGTGTATGAATATCTTGTATTGGAAAGTGCTGTTACATAACCTTCTTGTAAAGTGATCAATTTTCAGTGTCATCATACTACTAATGAAACATTATTGTAAAAAAATGTAGTTTCGATACATGAGGTTCCATCAGTTGTATTGAACAGCAATACTTTATTGAATCAGTGATGTCAAAATGCCCCAAAGTCAAAGTTTTTCCCAGTAAAATGCATATCTGGACCTGGCTAATTTTTGCAAAACAACCATTACATTTATACAATTAATAACTTCATCACTGATCTGCATTAGTATTGGTTTTTCCATGTGATATTTTTAACAAGTTCTCATCCAATCAATAACCAGAATTCTGATCAATTGATTTACCCCCTTTAGTGTTACAGTCATTCTTGATAGTGGAATTGATTTTAAACATCTTTTTTGAGGGCAGAATATGCAAGTTTTTCTGAGAATGAATTTAAAAAAAAGAAGTTTGAAGAGGGCTTTACAAGGTTTTTAGTGTTTTATGAAGTATCTGAAGTAAATTTTCAAAATACTGATCTCTAATTGCAAAGAAACCAGTTGTTAAGTGTTCATCTGAAATATGCCTGCAATTGAATTAATGTGAAATTATGAAGAGCATTTCCAGTTTCGACTTACCTGAATATTCTAACACAAAAAGAACAAAATACAGTTAAGTCCCTATGAAATAGTGAAAGAGATGATTCCCATAAAATGACATATACCTAATTCCCTCTGAATTTCAAAAAATGCAGGTTTGACAAACAAAATATTACCTTCTAACTTCTAATACTTGTTCTAATTAAAAGGCAAGTTATTTTGTGCAAGTTACCACAGTAATAGACTGAAGTATTCACAGTTTTACAGTAAAAATAACTTATAGTTTCACCACTACAAACATGTTTTAATGTTTAAAATTAGATATTGTGACCTAAATGTTAAGACTAAATGGAACCTTATTGCAACATGGGTACATTTGTATCATATTTAGAAAATTTAATGTGTTAAAAATATTCATATTCTTGTATTTTTCTCATCTAAAAACTAAGCTAAAAATACTGTAAATCAAATTCATTTTATCTATAACGTATTTCAATTGAGGTTCTATAAAAACACTGTTAATGTTTAACATAAAGTTAATGTCCAGTGTCTCTTAAATTTGCATCAATCATCTATATTTGCTATCAAGCATAAAAATTGAAGTATAATAACTTTGAGTGTATAAACAACTTTTTTGTGGGGAAAAACATTTATCATTTTTTATTATTTTACCCAATAAACATAACACAAAAACTCTTGTAAGCCTTAACTCTATATATCATTACAAAACTAGTTTTTACATATTCTTATGAATATTTCTTGTAAAGTAAATGTGTTTCCAAAATAAGTAACCCTGCCATTATGCTAAATATGTGTGACATGTAACAATAAACAAACCAAGACTAAATACTTTGTAGCATCATTTTAAATGAAATCTTCATAATAAAACAAAAACTAATTAAAAATGGTTTCACAAGATGAAGTATTTTGTTAAAAAAGGTTTACTAGTAAATTTTATATTATAGAAATAAAAACAAATGATGGATTTTCCTTTCCATTTACATTCTTAAGGTTTCCATGTTTTAGTCAGGAGACAATGAACATTAATCTTATATTGCATCATACTCATACACTTATTAAAATCAATTACTATAACATGAATAGCATACTGAGACATGAGAGTGAGACTCAAGAGCAAAATACACTTTGAAAGCCATCTAATTTGTTAACTATTGAATCAATGCGTAAGCTCACTGATGTTTCATTAATTGCATCTCATAAAAATGCTGCTACTACTAGCCTAGTATTAGTGTTTACAACTGAACTTTGACAGTACTATGATCAGAGCTACCATCACTCATGAACTGACTGTGAGACTCGTATGTCTTGACCTATTCTCACACTCATGTGCATTAATAAGAAAATCTAACATTTTGGTCAAATTAGCAGTTTTCTATAACACATTGTGATTAATTTGACCAGCAGTATCCAAGTCAAATTCAGCATCACATTCATCCAGGAAATACACAGTTTTTGCTTCAATGATACCCATTGACTTTAGTGAGTCACAGCACTTTACCAAGCACTAAAATCTTTTTTTCAAAAGTCTCGCTCAGATTCTTAAAACTTAATTGAACTAAAAGTTAGCAGTCCTGCTAAGCCTTGATAAAGCATTTAAGTTTAAAGGTGCAAAACTGAAAAGTTGTAATGAAAATAAACTTATAATGTTAATACTTTATTTAGTTGGAAGCTAAAAATGACTACCATTTCAGTCACTAAAAGTAAAAGTATGAACTACTGTTTATAATTAAATTCTAATTTTTAATTATAAATTATACCAAGTTCAACTAACGGTTACACTACAAAATCAAAATTTAAAATGCAGTTATAACTCCGTCGTTAAGGCGTTATTACAAGTATCCAACACTAATAATATTAGTGTAATATGGTTTACATATAATTTATACTACAAACGAAGTTGTGACCTAATAGTAATAAGTAACACTAACTGAGTGTGACAGAACGGAACAAGTAACGAATCAAAAATACTTCAATTTAGTATAAATTACAATTCCGTTGGTATGGTGTTATTTTATATATTGAAAACTAATGTTTGGAAAGACCAAAGTAACCTACAGATCGCTTCAAAAAACTCTCCACAAAAGACTGTTTGACAAGCTTCGTATAATAATATACATACTTATCTTTTTCTGTACCAAATATTGATGCCAAATACTCCGCCATTTTGAACTCACGCTCTTTCTCAAAAATATATATTAATCATTTAGGCCTAAGCTTAGGTATCAAACAATATGTAATCTTTGAACACCAGGAGAAAATTTAAAAAAAAAAGCTTGTCCCGAAAAAAATATCAAAATACCTCAAAGTATACTAAATATTATTTTATATTAGCTCTTTTTCCTATTTAATTATTCAGCTCTCATAATAATGTTCTTTCTATTAAATTTTATATGTATGTAGGTCGAATATCTTTTCACTTGAGTTTTAAATTATTTAGAATTGCTTTCCAATATTTCACTAGGACAGCTACTGTTCTTTATATTAATAGAATTCTGGTAAAAAAAAATAAGGACCATTGTGGTACTTTGAACTTCTTTAGCTTGATCAAATGGCTCTTCAACTACTCTCTATACTCCACTGTCTATACTCCCTTTTTATCCAATCTCCTATGGATTCTATAGAATTGTATGGCATCACTTCTTTGTGCCTATGTGATTTATGAATTTACTTTGCATTTCTATCATCTTGTAATATTGTTATGTATTTGCTTGTTTGTTAATTTCCGGTATAATATTTTTCAGAGAAACTTCAGCGATACAAGTCCTTTCTTGATTAAACCAGTTATTCTTCCTCGATACAAACTTTTAGTACACAGTAATTCCACAGTCAGAACGTTCCTCGTCACTTTAAACTTCTAAACTTTTATAATACACACTATAAATCATAGCGATTCACAATCTCGATAAGTTCGCTCTCTACGAGTGCAAAATACACACTACCTCGAAACAGAATCGTAATTCACCCGAAAATCCCCGTAACTAGTGTTCGCTTTGTCATCAACGTATCCGCTGGCTTTCGCTGCCAGGCTCTCTCTCTCCTAATCGGAATTTAGGTCTTCGTGACCTAGGAAGGTCAGGTACTCT